TCTGAAATAAATGGTCCTTTAATTTGTAATCTATGTAAGATTCTTCAATTCCATATTAATGTGTAAATCTTTTCCCCTTAAGTTGATATTCTACAAAGAAAATTACTTAGAAAACTTGTGAATGCAGAAATATTTCAGAGATTGATCATTTTTAAGTCTTCAAAATCATTTATTTTACAAAAATACCAAACTTAATAGATTCATTACACTTCAGTAGTTAGTGATCACCTATAATGATATCAAGGTTTTTTTATAAAACATCTTCCATTTACTCACCATTCTTTAATTATCCTTAATTAACACACCGCACTAAATGAATTTAGCATAAGATCCACCAGGGGAAGCTCACAGTTCAGATGCCTGAACAAACTTTATACGACTCACTAAACCTCAAGTCTGGTCCACATACATTTACAGTTGCTCCATTGTACTTTAACTGGATGAATGTCAGGGTCTTATTCACTCTAGTTCATAATCAATTATTTTCTTTCTGCTTTATCAATAATAATGCACAAAAAACATCCACCAGGATGGCAGACTGGTTAGCAAGGTTAGATCACACGTAATACAGGGAGAACTAGCCACTTGGATATAGAACTGGCTCGAAGATAGAAGACAGAGGGTGGTGATGGAGGGTTGCTTTTCAGACTGGAGGCCTGTCACCAGTGGTGCACCAAAAGGATCAGTGCTGGGTCCACTGCTTTTCATCATTTATATAAATGATTTGGATGAGAACACAGGCGGTATGGTTAGTAAGATTGCAGATGACACCAAAATTGGATGTGTAGTGGACAGCGAAAGAGGTTACCTCAAAGTACAACAGGATCTTGATCAGATGGGTCAATGGGCCAAGAAGTAGCAGGTGTAGTTTAATTTAGATAAATGTGAGTTGCTGCACTTCACAAAGGCAAATCAGAGCAGGACTTACACACTTAATGGTAAGGTCCTGGGGAGTATTGCTGAACAAAGAGACTTTGGAAAGCAGGTTCATAGTTCCTTGAAAGTGGAGTCCCAGGTAGTGAAGGCAGCGTTTGGTCATTTGGTACACTTGCGTTTATTGGTTAGTGCATTGAGCATAGGAATTGAGATGTCATGTTGTGGCTGTACAGGACATTGGTTGGGCCACTTTTGGAATACTGCGTTCAATTCTGATCTCCCTGCTGTAGGAAAGACATTGTGAAACTTTAAAGGGTTCAGAAAAGAGTTTCAAGGGTGTTTCCAGGGTCGGAGGGTTTGAGCTATAGGGAGAGGCTGACTAGGCTGCGGCTATTTTCCCCGGAACGTCGGAGGCTGAGGGGTGACATTGTAGAAGATTATAAAATTATGAGGAGCATGGATAGGGTGAATAGTCAAAGTCTTTTCCCCAGAGTGGGGGAATCCAAAACTAGACGGCATAGGTTTAAGGTGAGAGGGGAAAGATTTAAAAGGAACCCAAGGGCAACTTTTTCACGCAGAGGATGATGTGTATATGAAATGAGTTGCCAGAGGAAGTGGTTGAAGTGGGTACAATTACAACATTTAAAAGGCATCTGGATGGGTATAGGAATAGGAAGGGTCTAGAGGGATGTGGACCAAATGCTGACAAATGGGACTAGATTAATTTAGGATATCTGGTTGGTGTGGACATGTTGGATTGAAGGGTCTGTTTTCATGCTGTACATGTCTATGAGAAAACAAAACTGCTCAACTGGTACCATACTCAACAGAGGTTAGAGCCCTTTAATAAACTGTTCAATATTATGAATTCTGAGGGCACCTGGTAAGAAAAAGAGAAAACAGAGAAGTTCAAAACTATTGGAAGTCTGAGTCAATTCAAAAACAGTCCAACTGATTAGGCAGACATCAGCTGGCGGAAATCTGCATGATGCACAAAGTTAAAGCTTTGCAGAAGGCTGAGACTCAATTTATGATGAGGTCTCAATTGAGAGATATAATGGAAAGAGTTAATGACAGATAGCACGCAAGTGCTCTAGGAAATAAATTACAGCATTATAATGATCACGATACCGTAAAGACCACATCTTTTTATTTCCCTTTACTTTTGATTGCGCAGTGAAATGGTAAAATGGCAGTTTCAAAACCAATTGTTGTGGAAGAAATTGCTGCAATTTTAAAAAGAAAATTACTGAAACTCATTGCAAGTCATATTTACACTGCTGCTTTGCTCATGCAGTGGTGGGGGGGTGGGTTGTTTGTGGATGGGCTGACAGCAAGGTGCATGTAAAAAGCGAAATTCAGCCAACTATAGGTTGCTGACGAGTTGGAGGAGCTGTAACCAGTTGTGGATACCAAAGGCCATCAGCCTGACAACAACTATCTAATTGGTTCCTGGGCAGCTGACCAGCTAGTGGGAGTGAACAATATTGGCAGAAGCCTTCAGTCTGCTGGAAAGGCAGCTGGTGTATCTTTCTCTCCTGTAAAGTACATTAATCCTGAAGAAATCCAGTTTATTTTACCTCACTAGTTGATCTAAGCTGTGGCCTTTAACTGGTAACTATGAGATTTTGCAGTTAATATACCTATTGCCCAAGCTTCCTGTGAAGAAGTGTAAAGAACTTAGAGAAATTGAAGATCACTAAGTCACGGAACGAAAAAGATCACCTTGGTTGCGGGGGGGTGGGTATGTGTATGTGCATGTGCATTGGTGGGGACAGGGTGATTTTAGCAGGAGGCTAGAGTTTTAACTAGTAAAGTTACACGTCAACAGTTCATAGTTGCGTACCTGTGGTTAGAACCTATTTATTGGTAACAAATGATAGTCCTAAGTAGTACAGAAACCCAGCCCGTGTTGTCTGTTAGCCAGGGTCTGTCAGACAGGTAAATTGGAAACTTTGCATCCTTGGATAAATTTTTCAACTTTTGTGACAATTTTAGCAGTAGCAGAGTTTGATTTCTAGCACACCAATCCAGTGAGGTGAGACAATCGATTTAAGAGATGAAATTCTGCTGTCACATTGTTTGCCCCCAAGAAAGCAAATGCTTACCATTAGGGAGTAAGCCACTCCGAACCTCAAACCTGTCCTAGCATTCAACAAAAAAAAAAAAAAGCTGGTCTGTACCTTTATTCCATCATCCTGTCTTGGTTGTTTAATCCTTAATAACTTTGTCTGTCAAAAATATACCATCAATCTTAGTATCAATATTTTCAACTGACCAAGTCTCAGCAGGTTTTCAGTGGCAAATATGCCCAACTTCCATGATCCCTTGCAAAGGTGCATTTCCTGGCACCATCACTAACTTCCTAATTCTAATGTTAGGGATATGGCCCCTTGTTCTGGACTCTCCCTCAAGAAGGAAAAGCTTCAAAAGACAATATCAACTTCTAAATCATCTTAAACAAATCAAATAGATTGCAGCTAATTTTATACTCTTCAACAAAAAAAAAAAAGCCTCATCTGAGCAACCTGTTCTTTCACGAAACCCTTTTAGCCAAGGTAACACTATGATAAATTTGCGCTAGTCAGTGGTAATGGACTGAAGACAGGAAGAGCTTTAATGAACATATAATGGTTAACCTTAGACAGAAAAAAATGGAACCAGATGAGGGCAGACTCTGGACAATACAAAAGAAGCAATGAAGGAAGATGATGAGGTCAAGAAGGTGGAGTATCATAACAAACCTAGAGAACAATCACAATGGGTGGCACTTATGCTTGGTTGTAGCCATTACACTGCTGTAGTGGGGGCAAAAACAGACCAGAAAAATCCAAATATGGAGGTTTAAGAAATGGGGACAGAGGCTTAGGATGTGACATTGTGTTAGTGAATTTTGCAGAGGAAAGAAATGTTCTGACAAGAATTTCAAGGACAGAGAGGTAGGGAGTGATTGTGCGATAGGGTAGGTTGATAATGGCAGTTTTGAAAGAGAGCAGTAGAGTACTCGGGATGAGGGAACTATTTGGGGGCCAAGTAGGAAGGTTTGGGTGTCAGTGTATTCACACGAATGGGACAAGGCAGTAGGTAGCAAGTTGCAAAGAAAAATTCATCTCAGCGGGGCTGAGAGGAGACAGGAGTGAAATTAGTGTAGGACGGAGGTACAGCGCTAGGACAGGAGTGAGCCTTGGGAAAGGCTGGCTTAACAGGCAGGATGAAGGGAGAGATGCAATAAAGGCAGCAGAATGAGTGTCCCCAACGTTGAGCACAAACAATCTCATCCCCTCCTCACTTATATTGGGGGAGATGGTTAAGGTAACAGGGACCACAGCTTAAGGATGTGGCTGATGGTGGTGAAGTGATTTATCTCTGCTCTACAAGGCAGTTTTTTCAGACGACATAAAGGACCCAGTAATAATGCTTTATGTAGCCCAGCCAGATTTGACAGTAGGTGGATAAAAAACAGTTTCTAACAGAGAAGCTCAGATCTGTACCACTGGACTTGAGAACCTATCATAAGGGGCACAGAAGGATTCAATAAAGGCGCATTCAGTTCACCTGTGTTGGCACTGCCTCAAAGAAATACAGGTTTGTCAGACTGCATTCAAGGACTACAGTTTACCCAGTTATTCTTGGTGTACAGGTTTCTTTAACTTTATGAATGGAAATTGATTTGTTCTATTATTTCACACAGAGCTGAAAACTCAGGAGTCTTTAATTGGCTAATTTTCCAAGATATAGAAACTACAATTTCCAACACACTGGTCACACTCAAATAATCAATGACACTGTCCTGAATGTCCATGCCTCGTATATTTCCTCCCTCATTGTGCACTCTAGGAGAAACAGCATCTAATGCTGAGCATTTTCAAGCTTCACTGAATGTCTTGGAGGAAGGGCTATTTGATCTTCAGAGTGCACAAGAACAATTGAAATATACAGCAGAGATTTGTTAATGAAGTATAAAGATTTTCAGCAGCAATCCCTCACACATTCTCACAGAAAACAAATGAAAGATTATATATAATCTATTGTTTGGTCATATTGTCAGACTAAATTTAAAAGAGTAGGGTGGGCAACTATACGAAAACATTTCACTGATACAGTAATTGTATTTTTCCACTTACGAAAACCAATACGTTGTCTTGCTTTCAGCACAAGTTCCTCCTCCTGTTGTCGTTGATACATTTGAAGTGAGACTGCATCTCCCCAATATTCCACCACCTACATAATTATCAATCATAGAACCATCACCAAATTCAATTGTAGAAGAACAGCCCTGCAACCTCTGTTTAACAAACTTTATACAATAAAATTAAGGGATGCATATGCAAACATAACCAAATGAAAATCTTATTCCAGAATATAGTTTAACTCAACAGTATTACAGGTTATCCTGCACAGATGCAAAGCAGAAGTCAGAAATTGACTGTAAGGAAGAGTAAGCCACTATTACACATGCTTACATATCTCCCTCCTGACCTATGTTGAAACAAGTATTCAATGATATACCATGAATTGTTATCCAAGTGACTTTCATTCCTGGATCCAGATTGAGTGGGAGCAGAAAATTGCATCATTTGGACATCACTGCTCAATCCAAGCACTTGATAAAGATCAGCAGCAGAAACTCCAAACTGACTTTGATCCTAGCTAGTCTATTAATCCCGTCTTCTCAATCCACATATGCTGCTGAGGGATTGAGGTCAACTGAGGACTCAAACATTTCTTCAGCTGAGATCAGCTAACAGAATAGAAAAAGATCCAAACTTGGGCTCTTTCTTGATATCAAATCAGTTCTCAACGACCAATGCAGCACATTACCTGCTGAGCAGAAGCTCATGTTCATGAAATAGAGACAACAAGGTGCAGAGCTGGATGAACACAGCAGGCCAAGCAGCATCATAGGAGCAGAAAGGCTGACGTTTCGGGCCTAGACCCTTCATCAGAAAAATGAGTTCATCCAGCTCTGCACCTTGTTGTCTCGGATTCTCCAGCATCTGCAGTTCCTACTATCCCTGTTCATGAATTATGTGGTTCGTAGTTCTTCCCAACATCCTAACAATAAAGTAGCACTCATCTAGACTACTGAGAGAATGCAACCTCTTGTGTAGTGAGTATTCACAGCAGAAACAAAAGAGACAAATAAATCAAACACCACAAAACAAGAACTCAAAGTGAAAATCTCCTAGCAGGCAACACAGTCAGGTAAAAAGAAAACGTCATAGAATCATACAGCAAGGTAACAGACCCATCGGTCCAACTCATCCACGCCGACCCACATATCCTAAATTAATCTAGTCTCATTTGCCAGCATTTTGCCCATATCCCTCTGTTCATGTACCCATCCAGATGCCTTTTAAATGTTGTAACTGTACCAGCGTCCACCACTTCCTCTGATAGCTCATTCCACACTCTCAGTGTGAAAAACCTGCCCCTTAGGTCCCTTTTATATCTTTTATCTCTCACCTTAAACCTATGCCCCTCTAATTTTGGACTCCCCTACCCTGGAAAAAAGACTTTGGCTATTCACCCTATCCATGCCCCTCATGATTTTATAAACCTCTGTAAGGTCACCCCTCAGCCTCTGACACTCCAGGGAAAATAACTCCAGCCTCTCCCTAAAATTCAAACCCGGCAATATCCTTTTACATGTTTTCTGAACCCTTTCAAGTTTAACAACATCTTCCCTACAACTGGGAGACCAGAATTGAACGCAGTATTCCAAAAGTGGCCTCACCAATGTCCTGTACAGCCACACCATGACATCTCAACTCCTATACTCAACACACTAATCAAAAAAGGCAAGTCTGCCAAATGCTTTCTTCACTACCCTGTCTACCCATGACTCCACCTGAAAGTGACCTGCACCCGAAGATCTCATTGACCGGCAACACTCGCCAGTAAAGTAAGAATAGATTTGTTTGTAGCAATCTTGATCTCTCACATATTCAGGACAAAAAATTTCTTGCATCTTTCATCTACAAAACGGAGCTGTACCTTGGATAAAAGGACACGGTGATAATGCTGATCTGCTATGGCAGCTTTTTTAGCTTCATCAGCCAGTGTGCGCGCATTTTCTCTCCAGGTGTAGAAAGAAAATCTATATGTAAGAAGAGAAAAAAAGGCTTAGATAGTAAATAACCCACCCTCATGTGGTCCAAGGAAAGCAGAAGGTAAAATCTCAAGGGATGACCAACCGCTGTTAAGGGCTTATATAAATGACAAATTGGACATGAAGTTTGAAAGCAATGTATGCTTCATTATAAATGAACCTTAAATTCAAGCAAAGGAAGAAATGAGAACATGAGGTCAGGTTGGCTGTGGTGGACTGGAAAAAACAATAAGATTTGACAGGAGACAGGCCTAGTATTGAAAAAAAACCTACAATGTCTACTTCAAATTTACATTCCTCTAAGGCACTATCAGCTAAAGGGAAAGGTGACACAACCAAGGCTTAAAAAAAAAGTTAAAATTTGTATGAGATCTAAAGAAGTGTCATAAGAATACCAGTAACCGTGGCAAGTCTGAGGATCGGAATCAATTTAGGCCCCTGCACAGGAGAAGCGATAATCTGATGTGGAAAAGGAAAAGAGAATATTAAAGTCAAACTAGTGAGAAATATAAAGGAAGACTGTAAAATCTTCTATCAGTTTGTACAAGAGAAAAGATAAGCAAGGGTAATTGTCTGCCCATTACAGGTATAAACAGATGTATGTATATTGGAGAACAGGGAGTAGCTAAACAATTACTTAGTGCAGGAGCAAATTGCTGGAATCTGTAGTGAAAAAGCAAATGCTGGGGATCATAGCAGGTCAGGCAGCATCCTTGGAGAAAGAGCAAGCTAACATTGAGTCTTCACAGAAACAGATACTGAAAATCTCCCAGAAATGCTCAGCAACCAAGGGGCTGAAGAGCCAAACAATATTAGTATTTGTGAAGAGGTCATACTTGAAAAATCAGCTGGATTAAGAGTTGATAAATCTCCTGGGCTAGAGAAGCTTCATGTCAGTGTTGAAAGAAGTAGCAATAGACATAATGAATAATTTGATACTCATCTTTCATGATTGCAGAGATTCTGAAAAGGTTCCTTCTGATTAGAAAGTAGAAAATGTGAGAAAGGGATGAGAGAGTGTGGAGAACTACACATCTGATGTCTTGGTGTCAGCAGCAAGGAAAAAGATGGAATCTGTCATAAAGAATGTGATAATGGAAAATTTAGAAAAGAGTGGCAAAACTGGGCAGAATCAATATGATTTGTGAAAAGGAAATCACGTTTGACAGACATGGGTTTCTTTTGAGCATGTTACTTGTCGCACAGATAAAGGAGAACCAGTAGATGTAGTGGATTTGCATTTTTAGAAGTCTTTTGATAAGGTCCCATGCAGGAGGTTAGTAAGTAAAATTACAGTGCATGGGATTGGGGGAATTATCTAGTATGGATTGAGAACTGGTTAAGAGTCAAAAAGCAGACAGTAGGATAAATGGATCATTCTCAGGATGATAGGCTGTTACTAGTGGAGTACTGGAGGGTCACTGGTCAGTCCACAACTGTTTACAATTCATACAAATGATTTGGATGTGGGGACCAATTGTAATAATTCCAAATTTGCTCATGACGTTAAACTGGGTAGAAATTTGTGAGGAAGATGCAAGGAGGCTACAAGAGAACTTAGACATGCTAAGTGACTGGGCTAGAACATAGTAGAAGAATATAAATAATGAGTGAATCTATTCACTTCGGTGTAAAAAAAGCAGAAAAGCAAAATATTTCTTAAATGGTGAGAAGTTAGGAGTTGCGGGTGTCCAAATGGATCTGAGTGTCCGGGGCCGTAAGTCACATGCAAGTGCAGAAATCAACTAGGAAAGTAAATGGTATAACGACATACATTTCAAGGGCATTTGAGTACAGAAGTAAAGATGTCTTTCTGCAGTTATGCAGAACCTTGGAGAGACCTCACTTGGAGTACTGCATACAGTTCTGGTTACTTACCTAAGGAAGGACAGCAAGAGTTCTTATGTAAGGGTCATCAACAGACCAAATATACCTTCAGTGAAAACAACAGCAAAATCCTGGAATTATTTGAAAAGCAACTGGATATCACAAGGGCAACAGAGGACCATCAACTGTGAAGGACTGAATAGCCAATAATAAACTTCTGATGCAAATTACATCGCCCCAGCCTGCATCTGGATTAGAAAAATATCCTATTGTGTTCTGTGATGGAGGTCACAGAGGCAAGACTTTACTTTGCAGACCTCAGTCATTAATATTAAAATGGGGGCAACAGATAGAACGATATGAAATTTCTACCATGTGAACTTCAATTCGCGCAGGACATTTGGTGTGTTATTTGTCATATATTTCTGGAGTGCAGAAACATCAATGCAACACCATTACCTTAACAAATCTCTTCTCCGTTTCTTCTCCTTTTCATCCACCTTGCAAAGAATCTGCTTATTGTTCAAATGGTAAACCTAGAAATCAGGCAGGGAGGGTCACACTGCAGTTTTCAAGGTCTTATTAAGGTTTTAATATGCACAAAATTAAAAAACTTACACAAAATGTCAGATGCAATAAATATGACTCTCCTCCACTAATTCTAAACATAAACTGATTCTTGAAACTTGATTGTTCAGTTCTTGCAAGATAAAACACTGCCACAGACTAGGCTGATGAATTTTGTTATGCTGAGGAGATCACATTGACTTAGCAAATGACCACATGTAGTCAACTATAAATCCACAACTAAAGCTTTTGGGCTACAGAGCGTTCAATCAAAAGGTTTGTAAAGAACCACAATCTTGGTCGACTCAGAAACCTTGCTCGTGTCTTTAACAATCAAAATCCTGTAACTTTAACAAGATGACAGGAGCTTCATATCAAGTGGTTTGACCCACTGTTTGGTCAAAACACTGGTCAATTTTGGAGACTGAATGAAATGTTAAGGGAGTTAATGGTACTTTTTTTTATTCTGGGGTATGGCCAGTCTGTGATTTGTACTTTCTGCATCTAGTGGAAACAGCTTGTTGTAATAAATTGTAACATTTTGTCTGCTGGGTCAGCAAGACAGAATCCAACAAATAATCCCACAGATAAAGATGGTCTATTTTCTCATGTTGCTACATAGGCACTTTGAAACGATTTTGTCATTGGGTTCTTACTATCGCTCATAGATGTTGAGTGATGAAACAATTTCTTAAAAATATCCAGCTGCATGTAACCTGAAGCACTTGTGGACACATCATCCACTTCACCTCCACCTGTCCACCATGTGTGCAGGAATCCAGGTTTACTTTTGTCTGATGGGGACCTGCAAATTCTACCACCCAAAGGTCAAGAACAGCAGATGCACGGGAACATCAACACCTGCAAGTTCCCTCCAAGACACTCACCATCCTGACTTGGAACTACGTTACTGTTCCTTTGGTGTCACTGCGTCAAAACCCTGTAAATCATATATCACTCCCTTACACCATTGTGGGCGTATGAACACCACATGGATTGCAGTGGCTAACCATCACGTAATCAGGGGCAGTTAGGAGATGGGCAATAAATACTGGCCTGGCCAGCGACACCCACAACCCAAAAGAGAATGCTCCTATGATGCTGCTTGGCCTGCTGTGTTCATCCAGCCCTGCACCTTGTTGTCTCGGATTCTCCAGCATCTGCAGTTCCTACTATCTCTGAAAAAAAAAAATTGGCTGAATAACCCATCTTAGCATAGTAATCCCAGCATGGATCAAAATGGGAACCATTCTTCTAGTACAGTGTTGTCAAGTTATTTTGTTATACACAAATACCATTTCAATCAAAACATCTTGGAAAAAACACTTGTGATAGAAATGCAGTCAATGTGTCAGGCAAAAGCAGGAGACCAACAACCATCACTCACCTTCCACTCGTGCAAGGCTTTTGACAGCAATACCTTCTGAATATGCCTATCTGCATACACGTGTTTTTTCCATTTCTCACGCTTTTTCTGCACATACTGGAAAGTGAAAGTAGTATAAATAATAGTATAAATACACTGGTGCTCAATTCATCAACTCCACTACTAGAATCACCATTGGAGAATGAGAACTGAAGCTTTCAACTCCGTGCTCTAATTTTAAAATAAAACATACTTTAAATTTAAATAATAAGTTAACTTTTTTTTTGGTCTACTTTGTCCTTCCATGACAGAACAACATTTTGTTCAGGGATCCTACCACAGACATTAGGGTCTGCCTATAGCCCGTCATTTGTGAGTGCCAGAAAATTACTGCAGAAAATAAAGCTCATGGTGTAGGGGATTACATATTAGCTTGGCTGGTAGAAAACAGAATATTCATAATGGGTTTTTATTTGAAACAAAAACAGAAATTCTGGAGAAACTTGGCATGCCTGTCAGCATCTGTACAGAAAAGCAGAGTCAACCTCCGAAGGGTCCAGTGACTCTTCTTCAGAATTGATTTATCTGATTGGCAGGGTGTGATGTGTGGAGTGCAAGAGTCTGTGATGGGGTCTCGACATGTTGCAATTTACGTCAATGACTAAGATTAGGGGAACAGAGGCATGAAAAATAAATTTGCAGGTCACAGCAAGTTAATTTTCTACCTATGTTGTGAAAAAACACAAGGAGTTTGGAGAAGGATACAGGTTGAGTAAGTACAAAAATCTTGCATAGGGGGTTTGGTGTGGTAAAATGTGAAGTTGCTCACTTTGTTAAGAAGAATAAAAAAATGTATTACTTAAAATGGAGAATGACTGTGGAATTCCATGGTATAGAAAGATTTAAGTATTCTAGTGCATGAGTCACAAAAATTTAGAATTACTTAACAGTGTGTAATTGAGCTAACAAATGAGGTGCTATCCTTTATTATGAGAGGAATTGAATAATAGAGCATGGATGCTACACCTAAGTCATGCAAGGCAATGATAATGGTATATCTCAAATATTGTGTGTAGCTTTGGTCACCTTATTTACAGAAGGACTTAAATATATTTGAGGTGTTCATGGGAGAGTTACCAAATGGATGTCTGGAGGACAGGGTAGACAGGCTGGGCCTATTTCCACTCGAGTTTAGAAGAGTGAGGGGTGATTTGGTTGAAGTCTCTAAGATCTTGAAAGGACTTAAGATGGACATGGTAACGATGTTTCCTCTTAGAAGAAGTTGAGAACTAGCAGCCAGTATTTTAAAATTAGGAATTGCTCTTTTACACAGAGATGAGGGGAAGTTTTCTTTCCGAGGGTTGTGGGACTCAAGGGGCTGAATGGTCACTTCTGCTCCTAGATTGTCTATTTTGAGATTCATCCCCTTCCAGTTATATCTCAGTGCCCATTTCTGTAAAGGGTCATGTAGCTCCAGAGAAGACAGCTGGTGATGCCCCAGTTACAGCTGGAACATGTGAAGTGGGCAGCCCCTAGCAAGGACCTTCAGCACATGGGGACGGTGGAGTTTCATAATATGGTCCCATGCTGCTCTGAAATCTGACAACGGAAAAGTGCAGATGAGGGTAAGTGTGGTACTGGATAGGTGAAATATCTTCCAGACAGTTTGCTTTCAGCTATTGAGTCTGACACTACTCACTGAGAGAAGTGCTTAGCCATTCTGCAGATCTTCAAAGCAGCTGACCAGTGCTTAGAACTTGTCAGTTTCACCAAACCCTTCATGATTCTTCTCCTATCTGCCAGGTTGGAGAGAGAACTTAAGACCGTTCCAGTGTTTCCACTATTCTGATGTATCAAACAGACTGGGAAAATTTCACCTTATGTCTACACAATTATTCCAGCAAAACAGCAATCAGGAGTGAGATCAGATCTGTTTACTCTTCTCCACAACTCAAAGGTCTTTAAACTGCACTTTGCAAACCTGGGATTTCTACCACCTAGAAGGACAAGGGCATCAGATGTATGGGACACACCATCCTGACTTGGAACTATATCACTATTGCTACACTGTTGCTGGATCAAAATCCTGAAATTTCCTTCCCAACAGCACTGATGGTCTATCTACCCCACAGAGACTGTAAAAGAATGCAACTCACCATCACCTTCTAAATGGCTACTCGGGATTGGCAATAAATGCCAATCTGGTCAGCAACACTCACATCCCATTAACAAATTTAAAATCTTCTACAGGTACTAAATCATAAAAATATTGGCTCTGAAATTTTGTCATTTCATTTCTCACAACCATCATCATTGTGACCAGCACAAAATGGTTAATTTAGTGCTAAGTCGGGGGTAGTGTTTGGGTCCATGGATACTAGAAACTCTAAACAGACTCTAAATCTATTTGTTGCCTTACAGCAAGAAAATTTTCAGTCTAGGTCTCTATCCAGTTAAATGACATTACATGCAAACCCACTTAACCTGCAATCCAACTGAATTATTCAACAGATTTATCTCAAACGTTACACATTACTCAAACTGTTCTTTTTCTTCTTCCACAGTTTCCCTGCTTCTTTGTCAGGCTATTAGTGATATTCTGGAATGACAGCTAAGGGAAGACTTTGGATCCACAGTGAATACTGGGCTAGAATTGACAATGAGATAACTCACAAGCCGGTCAGAGACTTCAAGGCTCTGATCACAGAGGTAGACAGGCAGTGAATGTGGAAGGCACAGAGAGAAGTTGTTGCAAAAGATAGTGGAATAGAACAGCCGGAGGTTGATCAGAAAAGCACAGAACAGGCTCAAGAAATAATATATTAATTTGTTCAGTCTTGCTCAAAAAATATGCCGTTTCAAGTGCATGGAGCTTAAGCAGCCAGAAATTCAATACTACGCTGCACATTTTAGAACTAGGGAGAGAAGTGTAATTGAAAGCTTTTTTTGGTTTGAATTAGCTTATTCAAAAGTCCTTTCTTAACAAAATCAGCCTACTTTCTGTTTAAAAAATAATTATTGTTAAAATTATAACTAAACATATTTTGGTTGATTCTGGTTATTGAATTGTTAATGTAAGTATAATATACTTTACAGAAATATCTCCGACTCATTGACTTGTTAACCAAGACATGGAAAAATGAGCACTGGGATTTCTTTGGTGGCTATTCCTCATCACATGTGGTTGAAGTAAATGGTCAACTCCTTACCAAACACCAAACATTCCAGGCTCCACGCAAGCGACACTTGCACCAATGTCTTATGGCTAGTACTTCATGGTCTCGTCTGGGATGGAGATGGAGATGGAGGTAATTAAGAGAAGAGACAGGAGTAAGAATAGATCACATGGCCCCTTGAGCCATTCCAAAGTATTATGTCTGATCTATCGCCCAACTCCACATTCGCACACCCTCACCATTTCCCTCGATTCTTGAAGACAACAAATATCCAACCTTGAACGTATTGAATAATGAAGCTTCCAAAATCTCCTGGGCTACAGAATCTCAAAGGTCCACACATTTCTGAATGAAGAAATTTCTCTTTGCATCATTCCTAAATAATCAAGCTCTTATCCTTTGACACACCCACTCCGGCCCACCCACAGACGCTTGAACCCACCCATCCCACGTTCTGGAGCCCCAGTCAAGGGAAAAACCTCTCCATGTCAATGTTCTCCAGCTCCTCCAGAATCTTGGAAGTTTCAATGAGATTGGTTCTAAATTCCAGACAGTTTAGGCATGGTTTATTCAGCCTCACATCATAGGATAACTCTCTTATCCTCTTACTCTCCTGAACTTGTATGAGTTAGCACTTTTTTTCTCTGCATCAACATTTAAAATCTATACAGTTTTTAAAATAATATTCTGTTCTTCTACCCTTATTACCATAGTGAATAACGTTTTTTTCCCTACATTATATCCATTTTCCATCATGTCGCCCATTTACTTAACCTGTATATATCTGCCTGTTTGTGTCCCCCTCACAGCTTAGATTTCTGCTCAGCTTTGTACTGTCAGTAACTTTTGATATAACACTTAAGGTCTCCTTGGCAAAGTCATTCACTCAGATTGTAAAAGCTGAAGCCCCAAGGACTGAACCTTGCAGCACTCTATTCATTACAGCCCGCAAGCTTCAAAAAGCTTATTTAATCTTAATTCCGATTCCTGCTCGTTAAACGATCCAGTATCCATGTTAATGTATTACTCCCAACTCCATATACCCTTACCTGCTGTGTTAACCTTTTGTGCGTTTCCCTTTGGAAATCTATGTATATGAAGGAAGAAGGAATAAGAATAGGCCACTCAGCCCTTGAAATCTGCTGCATTATTCAGTAAATAAAAGAATGTGGATGATCTGATTTTAACCTCAACTCTATATTCCTGCATGTTCCTATAATCCTTCATCTCCTTGGTAATCAATAAACAAACCACCACTGCCTTAAAAATATTTAAAGATTCTGCATCCATTGCCTTTTGAGGAAGGGATACACTATATCTACTGGCTCTGCCTTATCTATTCTATTAAATACATCCTCAAAACTTTAATAAATGTGCCTTTCCATAAAACGAAGTATGTTCAGGCAGAGGTAATGATGTGTTTCTAAGTGCAATGTTAAGATTTCCTTAATATTGAATTCTAGAATTTTTCTGATAATTGATATCAGTCTAGCTGATTGCTAGTTCCCTGATTGCTCTCTCCCTCCTTTCCAGAATATTCAGTATTATATTTACTTAATTCGAATTCGTTGGGATGATTCAGGAATCCAGATTTAGGAAAACCGTAATCAGGAAAAACAAAACATGTAGGAATTAAATTCATAACAAAATGGTCTCCAGCTGCCTAAATGAGAATTGAGTACATTTTAAACTGAAACACAATTTAACATCACCGTTTCAGAAGGATTGATTGACAAGTAGCACATAACATAAATTTACTGTGATGATTAGTTAAAATTACACTTCAACACGGTGGCTGTCAGGGCTTTAAACTAAAGTCAGTGACTGGCCCCATATCCAGTGTCACTGACTGGCCCCACAACCAGCATCAGCAGCCAATCGTATCATGAACTGGGAAGAGTACGTCAATAATCATACCACACTGTTCCACAAGCCATCAGAAAATATGCAAAATCTCAAGTAGACCACCAAGTTGACTAATTTGCCCGATTGACTAAAGCAATTTTCACCAGGTTTTGTTATTAATAGGAAAGTTCTGTTTATTGTAAACACCCATAGCTTTAATAAATGGGAGAGAAAAGAAAGAATTCATGATCTACTACAATGCAACTTTCAACTATACCCCAAAACACACGCGCATTCACTATTAAAACAAACAAAGACAGATGGTTCAACACAAACGTTGTGCTTGGAACAATATAGACACAGGAAAAAACAGAATGCTGAAGCTCAGAAGTTCGGATCTCAATGGTGGGTTAAATTATATCTCTTAGTTCCTGTCATTTTAGCCATGACGACACACTGCTGTCTAGAAAACGATGGATGTTCTTAACTTTGATAGCTGGTCTAGGACTTTTCTTGCAACAATTCTCTCTAAATTTTAAACTTTCTTGACTTTCTTAACTTTTTGCTATTTTTAACCTTCTCAAGGGCAACTTGAGACCAGCTGTAAATGATGGCTTAATTAGTGATGGTCACATCCCATGAGTAAATAAAAAAACTCACCTGGGAGGAGGGGGCGGGGTGGAGAAGGGAGATGTTTTCAGTTTGTCGACTCTGGAGGCCTCTGTGCTCTATACTGACAGATCTGTAACAAACTGTAGCTTGACCAATCTGAGAGCTGTCATCCCTTAACTCAAAATCTCCTGGTGCTGCTTTAACTCAAAAATGAATCAATCTCACTGTTTCAACAAAATCATCTTGCACCACGGGGTCAGTTTAGCTCAGTTGGCTGGATGGCTTGTTTGCAATTCAGAGTGATGCCAACAGTACGGATTGAATTCCCACACTAATTGACATTACCATGAAGGATTCTCCTTCTCAACCTTTCTCCTCGCCTGAGGTGTGGTGACCCTCAGGTTATACTCACCACCAGCTGGTCTCTGTCTAATGACAGAGCAGCCCTCGGATTTGGTAAGATTATGACAACTTTACCTTCACCTCTGTCTTGCACAGTTTAAAATGCATACCACTTAATTCTTACAAATCACAAAACTCTCCTGGTATTTCAGCTATATTGCACTGTCCAATTTCCACCAGTTTACAGTCCAAAAACAAAAGGACATGATTACGTGATTCCTTACAATGCACACCTAGCAAGAGTGACAGACCTGAACTTATGAGTACTTTCTCGCTCAAAGTAAGGGGCTGTGGAATTAATTCACTTCCGAGTCAACACTGAAGCAGAGGGTATGTCATAAGTTAATAGTACGGTGGATGATAAATGGGGAATAAGGGGATAGGGAACAGGGGAGAACTTGATATTAGGATTACAGTGCATGTGGAAGACTAAAGCTTACACAGATTGTTTGGGAGTAACAGCCTCTTGTAGTTATATGTAATACAAAGTACTATCTCCAGGAAAGCCTAAAGTTTAAGGGATTTAATTTCTAATTGTACTGCTGGGGAAACAGCTCTAGAGATGGCCACACTTCTATTCCAGCACTCTAACATTTCCTGATGTAGCTGGGTGAGTGTCAAATTCTGAACTTCTTAACTACAAGTATGTGAAAAGCCCTGTACAAATGCATGTTATTGTAATGCATACAACAATCTCACTCAGACATTGAACAATATCCGAGAATGTCAACACGACTCTTATGTGGGATGGACGGTACAGGAGCTGAACAACACTGGCTTTAGGAAGAGTGAAGGAAGAAGTTTTGGCCAATTATAAAATTGCCCTTTCAGTCGTAATATGAAAGGCTGCAGTTGCAGCTTCTTGGTGCCATGAAAAAGCTACATCTTTGTAAATATACATTTAAGACCAGCTTGCTTGAAGGTACTGTTCACTCTGGAAGGTGGCTTTGCGCACCCCAACAGCCCTCTAGCGTGCTAGACAAGTGATCATCCTCTACCTGAGAGCACATAAAATAAGAGATGGGAGGCTATTTGACTAGAACAGGATCACAGGCTAAGTTGATCAACCAATGCTCACATGCCTTGCAGCACTCATTCCTGAACAATCATCTAAAAGGTGGCTGACTTTCATTTAAAGGTCTCTGACTGTCAGCCCAGATAATTCAATATAAAATGAGCACTTTTTGACTACAACAATCACCACAAAAGTCATATACCCACATAGCTATTACAGGCCAAATTTTAGCTTCATCTGAGTTTTAAGAACATGGAGCAAAATTGCCAAAATACCCATACCCTGCTTTTTGATCTGCCACAGTCTCTCTCCAAAAGTGCATCGATTTAAGCAGCAGCTGATGTCTAAAGTGATCTTTAGCCATGGCCTCCTTCTCTCTCTCCTCCACAGAGATGGCAGTCTTCTTACGCCAGTTCCACCAGAACCGCAGCAACATGCAACGAGTAGAATGAACCACAGCCTGCAGAAACAGAAACATTTCCTTCAAAACCCTCCCAATTGGACACCAGATTCCCCTCCTGGCTTTCACGTTAATTGATATTGCCACTGGTTCTCTTCCTTCCTGCTTCAAATCTTCTAACCTTACCTCATCTCCACAAACACTAATCCTTGACTTTTCAACCATGCTCCCTCCTTCACCATCCCCAAATCCATGCTGACCCTGCTTGAAATCCACTGTTTTGTCCAGCCTACCACAGTACCAAATTCAGTAAGTAAAGCCATAAATGATACCCCAAGTGACTGTGGCAAGCATGAACTAACCGTCCTCAATCTGACCAGTCTGCAACCATTAAAACAGTTCACTGCACCATCCTTTTCTGGTGCCCCTCTGCTGTCATTCACCATAGTGGGATTTCTCTCACATGGTTTCTCTTCTATCTGTCCAGTCATAACCAGAGAACGGCTCTCTTCTAACTCCAATACTGTGAACTCTGGTGTTCTCCAAGGATCAACACTCACCTCACACTCCCTTCTACTTCTCATTTATATGCTGTCCCTCAGTGACATGATCTTAAGTCACAGCATCAGTTTCAGGTTGTGCACTGACAACACCCAATTCAACCTCACTATTCCTTTGCATGAACCTTCAGTTGTTTCTAAATTCTAAGATTCTGACATCTGGGACCAACACTGCAGAAATTTCATGGCATAAAACAGAGAAAAGACCAACATCATTGCTTTTGGTTCCTTCTCCAAACCCTATTCTGTAGCCAGATAATCCATTTCTCTTCCCGGCGACTGCCTGAGACTAAACCTGACCGTTTGCAACCTCGATGTCATATTTGACTTCAAGTTAAGCTTCTGATCATATTATCTGTGACACCATTAATTCTCTCATCCATGTCTTTGTTTCTTCTAAATGACCATTCTAAACATACTCCTGGGCTGGCTTCCCTGTGTAAACTCGGTATCATCCAAAACTTTGCTGTCTGTGTCCCTCTTTACACCAAGTCCCAATAGGTCTCCGTTTGCTGAACAACATTGAATCCTGATGAAGCAAAGCCTAGATTTCAAAATTCTCATCCTTGTTTCCAAATCTTTCCATGGCTCACACATCTCCCGAACATCTTAGTCTCCAGCTGTACAACCCTCCAAAATCTCAATGTGCTTTGAATTCCGTCCTTTCTGGGTCTCTCCAGTTCGAATTGTTCCAGCACCAGAGGCCAGGCCTTCAGCTACCAAGGTCCTAAACTCTGTAATTTCCACCTGACAATTCTCACTTCCTTGAAATTGGCCACTTCAATCTACCCCAATATCTTTTTATGTAGTTCAGTCTCATTCCTGAGAAGTGACATGTTATGGGATGTATTGTTAAAAAAGGCTTTATATAAAGATAAATTGGCGTTGGTTACCAGGAAAAACTGGCGCAGAAACATGAAAAGTCATATCATTGGAATAATACGCCACTCTCCTTGCAAATCTTTTTCACGGGTAACAAGCCATTTATGAACTGCATTAACTGCAAAATGATATGTAAAAGAAATGTGGTAGCTAACTATAGCCAAGAAGATCCCAAAACTGGCAGTGAGGTGAAACAACAGATAATCTCCTTTAGTACAGTTGTGAGCACAAGAAATATTGATCAGGATACTGGGAGAACTTGCCGTTTTCGAGAACTTGCTGTTTTCCATCATTCTGGCACTGTAGTAAGAACCTAAATTATGTGCTAACATCTAAGGTCTGGCATTTGAACTCACAACCTTCTGGGTCAGAGGTAAAAGAGCACAACCTACTCATTCAAGGTTGATATCTTAATTAATTCAATATTTATACCCATTCAGTTCAACAGCAGACATGCTGAATGATTATTTTCTTTCAGTACTCACAGAAGAAAAGGAGAACGGCTGAACAGGCTCACGTGGCTGAATGGCCGACTCTTGAATATATGTTCCTATGTTCCAATAATGGCTCCAGTCAAACAGATCAACTATAGCCCCAGATTAATTTGACAACAGAAATTTTCCACAGAACAGGATAGGTTATTATGTCACCTTCTGTTATGATTAACTGTTGAAAGGGTAGAAGTTATAGTTACCAATCTTTCCGCCATTCGATTCTCATGCTGACGATCCAACTTTTCCCACCATGCATAAAAAGCCAGTTTCAGCAACATCTCTCTGCAAGGGTGGTAAATGACATATTACATAGTAGCTCTCAGTCACACCATTCAACGTACTTGTGTTGCTGGATAACTACCCAGCAGTGTCCTTCCCAAATCATTGTGGTTAATTCATTTTAGTGAAGTGATTGAGCATTGGCAATCTGAACCAACCAATTGTTTAAACACTCAGATCCCGTCATTCAAACAGATTACAGCTGACCTGTAACTCAACTCCATTACCCTTCATATGCCAATCTAACAAAAACGAACAATTTCAGTTTTAAATTTTTAACTGATTCCCCCACCTTCTTGAACAGACTAGTCACATTTCCATCTGCAGGTTATTAGTCCACTTGGTACCAAGCCTTCCAGCAGCTCATAATGTGTGTTAGCAATGACAACAGGTACTACAAAGATGAGCTTCAACCTGCTCTCGCTGTTATTTATTTTCCAGCTAGAGGCACTGAATCACCATCAGGTACTCTACATTAATAAAAAAAGAACAAAAAGAGAAACAAAGTGGGGAAAGAGGTTTGAAATATGTAATTGAAAGAAGAGGTTCAGTTCAAGTTTCCATTGAGGAGCTTTAGAACTGTTTAGGAGATGGAGGATGGAAGGGGTGCAAAGCAGAGAATTAAAATGGCATGAGAGTAGAGGCTCAAGGTTGTGTGTGAGGGCTGACTAAACGTATTCCACAAAGCAAACTCTAGTCTCCCCCATGTACAGGGGATGGTATCCAAACTAATGAGCACAATATACTAAATTATAAGTAAAAGTTAATTATTTTTCACCCAGAAAGTGTGTTTGGGGTCTTGGACATTGACAAAGGAGAAGTGAATAGAACATACATTGCATGGGTAGATATACTGGGAAGGAGAGACTCTTGGTGGGTGATTGAGCAAAGGATAAGGGTATCACAGTTTCTTTGGAACCCTGTGATTGGTGGTGGCATCCACAGCAGAGGGTGACCATCAAATGTAGAATGCAGTGGAAGGTCAAGGAGAAAAGAAACCTAATATGGTCTTGGGAGGGAGGAGGAAAGACGAGAGCAGAAGTGGGGAAATGAAAACCCGATACGATCAAGGTCCCAGTCAACCAGTCGGTGGGGACAGACATTCTTCAGTTGAGGAAACTGGAGGACATATTGGAGCACCAAAGTTGCTATTAAGGAAACCTACAATGGTCCTAGCTGCACTGCTTATTTATGGGGTATGTGGAACATTCTTTGTTCAAGTCCTACTCAGGTTACTCAACTCTTTTTCCTAGTACTTTGATAGTTGTATCATCAGCTTTTCTTGCTCCTAACCAGAATGGGAAAATTTTGTCATCTGTTTCCAACTTCCACCCTTCTCTCAATTCACACGATTCCTCCAAGGACAATTCTTTTCCCTTATTCTAATTCTTTGTCTCCATTTCTGGGGACAGACAGGAATGGACAAGAAATCCTGGCTGTGTCAGCAATGGCCAGACCCCACAAATGCAAGAACAAAAGACCAAAAGCCAACTGACACTTTCTTTTTCATTAATTTAGGGGATTTTGGGATCACTCGTTGGGTCAACACTTATCATCCATCCCTAATTTCCCCTGGAGAGAGTGGTGATGAACTTCCTTCTTGAACTGCTACAGTTTATTTGGTGTTGCTCACCCCTACAACCCCAATGAAGCATAAGTACCAAGGGATGTCAGGCGAAAAGCTCACCAAGCTAAGTCGTTGTATCTCTATGGTCAAACTAGTTGCCAGTTTACACATATTAAAAAACAGGCATATGGGCGAGGGTGGGGAAATGCATCACAGGACGAGGTATCTTCAGCGGAGGGATTAAGTGGGAGAAAAGCCACTCTAAACACTTAGCACTAGGAATGTACCTGTGGAATTCCCACGCGGTCTCTTTCATCTGATTCAGGCGTTTCTTCTCATTGACAAATACTTTCCACCTCTTCAGAAACAAAGGTAATAAGGTCCAACAGTAATGAGCATAAGCCTTCTTATCCTGAACCTGAAAAAGCCCAAACTGCATTACATAGAGAAAACGGACCCTGACTCCAGCATCTGCAGTTCTTGCTATCTCCCGGTCTTTAAGAGGTTAATTTTTGCTTCAAGAAATAAGAAACAAGCAAAAATAGCCATAATGACAGATGGGTAAAGAGCCTTTGGTCTGTCTAGTCTGTCCCACAATACACACATTCACACCCAAAAATGCTAACCTCTGGGCTAAAAACCAGATAAAAATCCAGGCTAATTTGAGGAATAAAAATCTGAGGGACTTCTCTCCCACCTATCGAGGTAATCAAACTAGACCTGGATTTCACTGCAGCGTTGATTACGGTACCTGCTATTTTTAAAAGACCTAATGTCCATCATAAAGAAAAAACATCCATCTTTTCCTTGAAAGAATTCAGTGAAGCAGTGTCCACACATCAGGCAAAAATGGTCTGCTTTCTCAGAGAGGAACTACATCTCAGCATGAAGTGGGGTAGTGGTAATATCATTGGACCATTAATCTTAGACTAATCCTTTGGAGACAGTGGTCTGAATCCCACCATGGCAGATGCTGAAAGCCAAATTCAATGAAATCTGGAAATAAAATCTAACCTAATGACAACCGTGTAACTGCTGTTCATGTCATTAAAAACCCATCTGGTTCAACTAAGGCCCTTGGGAAGGATTTATACCATCCTTACCTGGTCTGACCCACACATGGCTCCAAATCCACAGCAATGTGATTGACTCCACACCCTCTGAAATGGCCTAGCAAGCCAGAGTCGTACCAATTGCGAGAATGTCTCAAAAAAAAGAAACAAAACCAGATGGACCACCAGGCATTAACTTAGACACCAGAACCAATAATGTCAAACACAGTCCTGGTGATCCTGCAAAATCCTCCTTACCAACATCGAGAGGCTTGTGCCAAAATTGGGACAGCTGTCTCACAAACTAGTCAAGAACACCCTGGAGCATGTCCTGCCGCACCAGCAGAGGTATGCAGTCAGGAAGGAGTTAGCCTGGGAGTCTTCAACATTGGCTCCAGGCTTCAGGATGTCTCATTGCATCTGGTCAATCATGGGCAAGGAAATCTCCTGTTGATTACCGCATGCTACTGTGTCAACTGTTGAATCAGTACTCGTCCATATTGGGCACCACTTGGAAGAAGCACTGAAGGTGACAAGGGCATAGAATGTCAGCTCCTGGTGTGCTACAGGTATTGAGAGAACCAACAAGAAGGAAATATCAACTTTGCTCACCAATCTAACTGTTGTAAATGAACCCGTCCATTACAGTATTAATAGGAACAATCATCGCTGAGTTATCAGAAAGACAGAAGCCCTGTTTTCTCATTAAGGTTAGCCTCCATCGTGCTATGAATCACAACCACTGTGCTTAAATGGTACAGTCTCAAACACATTCAGCAACTCAAAATTAGGCTCACAAGACACTATTAGAAATCAGAAGTAGCAGAATTATATTCAACTGCCATCAAGCTAGGTGATCAATCTTCGTCCAATGAATAGGAGGGGCAAAACCAGGCATACATAAAAACAAGCTGCTGTGTGGCTACAAAGTCAGACTGGCTGCATTACAAACAGTGAAAGCATCATTCAATGGATAGAGATAAGCAATCATAGAACCAGTGAATCAGTCCAAGTTCTGCCACATACAGTTGTGAATGATGCTGGCCAATTGAACTAACAGCAGGTGGAAATTTCGCAAATACCCCATCCACAAACTCAAAAGGCAACGCTGAATCATTTGCAATAATCTTCAGCCAGAAATGTTGAGTGGATGATCTTGACATCCTCTTGAGGTTCCCAGCATCACAGTTGCCAATCTTTAACAATTCCATTCACTCCACATGATACCAGTAAATGGCCAAACACAATGAATACCACAATGGTTATGAAACCTGACAACATTCTGGTAATGACACTGAAGATGTGCTCAAGACCTAGCCATGCCCTTTGCCCAGCTGTTTCAGCAGAGCTACAACACTGGTATTTACCAAACAACGTGAAAATTTCTATTTATGTCCTACGCAGAAAAGATTGGACAAATCCAACCCTGCCAATTACGATTCCATCAGTCTTTTCTCCATCACTCAAGAAGTGACAGAAGAGGTCATTGACAATGCTATCAAGCAGCAAATCCAAAGGAATAATTGACTCACTATTGCTCAGTTTGGTTTCTGCCAGGGTCATTCAGTGCATGATGTCATTAGAGCATCAAGAAGCCTGAGCAAAGCTGGAGTCAATGGGAATCAGGGGAAAAGCTCTCCAATGGTTGTAGTCATATCTAGCACAAAGTAAGATGGTTGTAGCTTCTGAAGGCCAATTATCTTTGAGGAATTCCTCAGAATAGTGTCCTGAGCCCAACAGTCTTCAGTTGTTTCATCATTTATCTTCCTTCTATCATGAAGTCAAAAGTGGGGACAATAGTTGATGGCAGCACAATGTTCAGCATCATTCACGTCTCCTCAGATACCGAAGCAGTCCGTGTCCACGTACACCAAGAACTGAGCAACCTGGCCTGATAAGAGGCAAGTAACATTCACCTACACAAAAACCAAGCAACGACCATCCCCCAAAAATGAGAATCTAAACATTGCCCCTTGATGTTCAATGGCATTACCATCACTGAATCCCAAAATCAACATCCTGGGGGTTACTATTGACCAGAAACTGAAATGGACCAGATGTCTAACTACTCTAATTGCAACAACAGGTCAGAGGCACACAACCACCTTCTCTAGAGCAATGAAGATGAGCAATAAGTGCTGGCCTAGCCAGCAAGACCTACATCTCCTGAACGAATAGAAAAAACTCCAGTTTTACACAACTTAAAATTGAAATTTATGATCTGCCAATGCCTATTTATCTGGAACTGACTGTCACTTAGAACACAAACTATTCCTTTTATTGTCTTCAAAGCTTGATCCAGATCACCGTCAAGTCTAGACTTTGCTCAGGTATAGGATCCAAACTCTGTCATTCTATCCTTCTAGCTGAGGATTCATTCCAGCAGAAGGGCAATTTCTGGTTTTGAGGTCTTCAGGCTATCATAGGTGGAAAGAAGTATTAAGCTGTTTTAGCAGCCTCAAAGTTTTCAAAGTCAGAGAAACATCAGGAAGTTAGCTTTGTGTGTGTTTTGGAAGAGATGAAGAGCATCATATTTGGTCAATGTGAATAAAGTCACCAAAAGGAAAAGCTTGTGACCTCTTTAATTGAGCAAGAAATTTTGATGTGAAGACAGGAGTGGCACTTCACTAGGGTTGAGTGCCTGTAAAGGATATTGCAAGAGTCTTGTTTTTTGCTGTTTATGATAAGATCCTTCAAAATTGTCATCGGTATATTTATGTATGGCTATTTTTTTCTTTTGGGCAAAAATTTCTTGTATTCTTTTCTGAAGGATGCATTGACAGCCTCATGTGAGCATGTTCATTGACTGACCATCACAGTAATCAAATTGCAAAAATTACAACTTATAGTCTGTCAAGCCTGATTTATCCAGTATTACCATCAGCTGGGAACATACCAAAATTGACAGCAAATTCTGCAATGTGTTATTAAAACATGCACATAAACAAGCTGATGGCAGTAATTCCCTGCCCCTCCACAGTCGGCATCCCTGCAGATGGCAATCTTTTAAAAATCACTCAACTGTTAAGATTTTCCACACTTATGCTGTAAGATCAGAATAAAAAACCCATGAAAAAGTCATTCATTGACAATGAAATGTAATTGGATTTATAACAAAGCCATTACTATGAATGAACTGTCTTTCTGCCCTTGAAAACCTAGCTTTATATTTGTGCAAAGCAATTTTTTTTTAAATGATTAAAAAACTCTCATGTATACATCCTAACCTTTCTTTTGGCCTGTCCAATTATATAAAAATTATGTAAGTTGTTAGATAACCATTTTACTCCCTGGTTAGCTGCAAAAATTCCTGAATTTGCTTCGCTGTGGACCCTACTCAATGATATTACTTGAATGGCTGGAGATTTTTTTGAGTTGCTATCAGATTGAAAGTTAATGTTCAGGAAGTGTGAAATCCACACTTGAAAGATTACATCAGAAAGCGCACAGCTTTCTTCAAAAATCAGTGAAAGTGCCACTGTTCACTGCAAATTCAGCGCTACTCTCATATTATTGGTTGTTTTGTTTTGTTGAACTACTCATCTGTGATCCCATTAATTGCAGCAGCTGAGAAAAACGTGGCAGACAACATTTTTGAAAAAGCTTTTCAAGTGATTTGGCTGATACATCAATAGACAAAGTGAATGAATCAAAACGGAGTAAAATGTTGACAGAAAAGTAGGACCAAAAATCTTGGCAAAAGGAAGTTGATATACAAAGAGGGCCTGGTATGAAGACACTTCTTTCTAAATAGGTATTTTCCATAACTAACCAGCTGTCATAAATAAATTCAAGCAGCAAAGACAATGAATTTTGTTAAAACTGCGTAAACCTTGGTAAAGACAAAACCAGGCACAGAGGTTAACAAGAAAAGGATGATTTTTAAAATATACTCAGCTACAAGCATCGTTTTGCCAACTATGATACTGATACTATCTTAACTCAAAGTATGTACAAAATAGAATCATCCCAAAGCTCCTCACTTTCACTACTGCAATTATTAAACCACATTAAAATAACTCAGAACAGTTTAGAGATAGTAGGAACTGCAGATACTGGAGAATCTGAGATAACAAGGTGTAGAGCTGGATGAACACAGCAGGCCAAGCAGCATCAGAAGAGCAGGAAGGCTGACGTTTCGGGCCTAGAAGTAATGTTATGACTAGGCTAGTAATCCAAAGGGCCAGGCGATTCCTTTGGGGTAAAAACCAAAAGAACTGCGGATGCTGTAAATCAGGGACAAAAACAAAGCTGCTGGAGAAGCTCAGCATGTCTGGCAGCATCTGTGGAGGAGAAAACAGAGTTAACGTTTTGGGTCCGGTGACCCTTCCTCAGAACTGTTCTGAGGACGGGTCACCGGACCCGATTCCTTTGGGGTCATGGGTCAAATCCTGCCACAGTAGCCGAAAGAATTTAAATTCAACTAATAAAATCTGAAGTTGAATGCTACTTTTGGTAATGATCACCATGAACTCCTGCTCTTTAGAGAAGGCTAAGTGCCATCCTTATCGCGTCTTGCCCTATGTGACTTCAGCCCTTCGGCAATGTGGTTGACACTTAATTGACCTCTGAAATGGCTTAGTAAACCCAATGGCTCCTGAGCAGTTAGAAATGACCAACAAAACTTGCCTTGCCAGCAAAATCCCATGGAAGAATTTAAAATGGAATGAAATGAATGAAATGTTGGATCTTCTGAAGGATTAATCCAGTTGCTCCCATAGTTGTTACTATCTTCACTCCCATGGCACTGCAGGTCCACAAGGTTGGGCAAAGGAGTGAACCTCAGCCCAAGAGAATCAGGCAGACTAGGCTTCAGAAATCAGGCAACAGTAGGCCCAAGGTGAGCTCCGGGCATAAAGAAAGGCACAGGACCTCTGGGTGGTACTGTGAATCTCTTGCCGAAGCAAGGCAAAACAGTGAATGGTATTGAGAAAGCAAGTTTAGCTCAAGGATTCAGTAAGTCAATAACAGGCCTAGGTCATCTGAAAGAAACAGGCAGAGGGAGCAAAGAGTGGAGGAGTAGAACAAAATTCAGGTAGACTGGTGAAGGGCACTGGTGCTTAGCAAGGTTGTTTTCTTGAATTGCTTTAACTTTTTTTAAACTGTCATTTGAAAACAAAATGAAATGCTTGTGTTTTTGCTGCAAAACATATTTCAATTGTGGATTGTTAACAGATGCTGAAAACTAATAATTTGAGATTCTATAAATGAAACCTGTTGAGTCAGTCTGGGCTCTGTTGAGCTACCAGTTAAACCACTGGAATTATTATAGGGAACTATTTCAACTTTGTCATCCAGGACCATGTCCTTATTCCTCACCTGATACCGCTTTTCCTCTTGAATGCGTTTTATCCAGCAATGGAATGATTTTCTCAGCAATACCTCCCTGGAAAAGAAAGATGCAGTTCCAGAAAAATCAGTAACATATAACAGAGTTGTAGAGTTCTTGGCATTTTGGTGTTAATAAAGTATAATTAACTCAAGTATTAATTGCTTCTAATACTTGTTTGCTTTCAGTGGAAAAAAAGAAGGAAATTGTTCCTAGATTTTTCCATTAACTGATTGCATTGCAAATTTGAAGCAACTGTGCGCATTTCCCAAGGACCCACAGTATCTGCAATGGCTGAAGGGTGAATGGGTCAAGAGCAGCAAAAGCAGCCTCTCTGTCAGAGAGGCTAAATGCAATCAGAGCCTGGCCAGAAAGAAATCTGAGAACATACAAAACTTGACAAACAGCAAACAAAATTCGTGATCCAAAAATAAAAGCAAAATACTACAGATGTTGGAATCTGAAACGAAAACAGTAAATGTCAGTGAAACTCAGCAGGTCTAGCACCATCTGCCTGATCTAGTGAATATATTTTCTGTGTTTATTACTAGTCAAGCTAGCTATTCGCACATATATGTGCTGTCATGTGCACCACGATACAGTGACTGCCAGTTCAACATGTACAAGACTGGAAGAGGCAAAATGTCAGATTACAAACACAGATGAGTTCTGGAAATAAAAATGGAACATTTCGGAAATACTTTGGCAAAGAAAACCAGTCCAGGAGATCATCGTGGCCATAATTAATGTAAAACATTACCTGCCACTTGTACAAGATGATCCACACTCATGTCAGAAACAGGTTTGAAGGGAAAAAACAGCAAACACTGAAAGTAATATCAGTTACAAAGTCATACAGCATAGAAACAGACCCTTCAGTCCACTAGTACATGCCGACTACATTCCCAAACTAAACCAGTCCCACTTGCCTGCGTTTGGCCATATCTCTCCAAACCTTTCCTATTCATGTACTTATACAAATGTCTTTAAAATGCTGTAACTGTACCAACAATAATCATTTCCTCTCCTAGTTCATTCCACTCACGAACCACTCTCTGTAAAAAAAAAAGTTGCCCCTCAGGTCCTTTTTAAAACTTTCTCCTCTCACCTCAAAAATAGGACCCCGAGTTTTGAACTCCCCCACCCTAGGGAAAAGACCCTTGCTATAGATGTGCAGAAAGATACAGAGCTCATATTTCACGTTACTGGCCTTTCACTTGAAAGGTTGCTGACTTGAAATGTCAACACTATTTGACTCTTCATGTTAACTGACCTGCCAAGCATTTCCAGCATGTGCTTTTTTCCCCATATCTCTAGCATTCACAGTGTTTTGGTTTTGTGCAGGTTTGAAGGAAGGTAACAAACCAGCTCACAAACTGATAACTCATTTCAGACATTGTGGGTGCCTGAACCCTGGGACCAGGCACCTTCAGTTTCTGTTGCCATCAGATGGTTGGCCTAAACCTTCAAATTGGTGTATCTTAGAAGCCTAAGGACCACTTTCATGACAGCATCCAGACACTGTCAACTTAGAAGCTGTCATCAGATGTCAAACTGGTCATCCAACTGTGCAATCACATGGTTTTATGCAGCAGCATTCTATATCTGAACAGATATGAGTCATCAGAAAGACATTCAACTCCAAGCGTCTGAAACGCAAAAATGTGACTAATCAGTTTTGAGATACTCAGTCAGAGGAACTGACTATAGATTTCGGAATCAAAACTCTGTGGAATGCTAGATGCACATTTAGGAGACTCAAGGCAAGGTATGTGCACAAAAATAGGAGCATATCAGCCTTAGAACAAAGGATAATTTCACTTTTCTGTGACGTCTGATTATTGAAAGTCAGGAAACTAAACAGTTAACCATTCTCAGATTACAAGAATACCTGAAATGGTTTTGGGCTTGTCCTGTCAATGCTCGAAGTTCAAGTTCCTCTTGCTGTTCCAGACGTAATTTCCACTGATTCCAGCACCTTCGCAGCATCTGTCAGAACAAAAAAAAATTGAGAGCGCAGAAATGCAGGCTCAGGTCCCAGTGCAGCTGTATTTATAGAACTGCACAGTTAAATGAGCCCAGGTAAAGTGATTGGGGTTTTGTCAGAAACACATTCATCAGCCAATTTGATGTGCAGTTTCACGAATGCATTTTCCATTGTTTTTTCATCTGTGAGTTCTGCACATTTGCACTTGAGAAACTCACTTTTGTGTGTGGGGGTGGGGAGAGGAGGGAGATAAATAGTTTGATTTTCATGAACTCAAAGGATCTGTTGTGTTGATGTTCTCTGCTTGGAACAGGCTGTCATGAAAACTGAACCATTAGAGGACACTGAATATCAAGGAGCACCCTAGTTAAACCTGAATTCAGACAGACCAAAATCTGGTCTTAGTCTAGGCTTCAAATGTCTCAGCAAATAAGATTCCTAAACTATAACAGCTTCAGCTCCATTAAATGCAATTCACAGAGCCATAGCACCAAACAGTATAAAATGTAGCAGGTTCACGAGGTTGATTCCGGAGTTGAGAGGGTGGTTTATGGGGAGAGATTGGGTAGACCGAGGCTATACTCATTGCAACTTAGAAGAATGAGGGGGGATCTTATAGAAAGACATAAAATAATGAAGGGAACAGATAAGATAGAAGCAGGAAAGTTGTTTCCACTGGTGGGTGAAACTAGAACCAGCAGGCATTGCCACAAAATAAGGAAGAGCAGATTTAGGACTGAGTTGAGGGGGAACTTATTCACCCAAACAGTTATGAATCTTTGAAATTCTTTGCCCTGTGAATCATAAGAGGTACGTTGTTGAATTTTTTTAAGGCACAGATAGATAGATGTTTGAACAGTAAGCGAATTAAGGGTTTTGGTGAGCGAATAGGTACGTGGAACTGAGTCTACGAAAAGATCAGCCATGATCTTATTGAATGGTGGTGCAGGCTCAACGAGCCAGATGGCTTACTCCTGCTCCTGTTTCTTACGATCTTCAGCACTCATGCTCGAGCCACCTCTCTGGAAGACCAACCCAATTCATTCCACTTCCCTCTCTTTCCCCATTGTCACTTAAAAGCAAAAAACTTTTCAGAACTATCTAATTTATTTTTGAAAGTTACTCAAGGATCCCCTGCCACACCATTCCAGACCAAAACAACTCAAAATATAAAATTTCACCTCTCCTTCCCCCCATTTCTTTGCCAATTATTTTAAATCAGTGTCTTGTTACTGAATCTATTGCAGTATAATCAGTTTCTTCCCATCCATTCCATCAAGATCTTGCATAATTTCAAACGCCAACAGAGAGATTAAGAAACGGGAGTTTGAAAATACACAACGAGCAACATTCGACATTCTTCTTCTCTAAATCAGAGACTCTGGTCACAAGAGCTTTACAGTGACCAGAGGAAGAAAGTTGTGAATCACACGCAGCAAAAAAATGAACAAAGACTAACTTACTAGAAATTTACAGTTTACTGCAAAAGGAAATGATTCCTATTTCTTGAAATGTGTATAAAGCAATAAACATTGTAATTTTATCCACCAAGAAAAAATAATAATTCGGCAGCTTCAGGAATATTTTGGACATTTGAGTATTCGTGGCGACAGTGGGTTTCTCAGGAGCTTATCTCTTTAATCAGTGTAGCTAAAAGGTCACATTACAATTGACAGCACATGCTTGGAAATTATTCAGAACGTGCTCCATAATGCCTGGAAGAAAACGTCATTGTTTGATCCTTACCTGTCATTTTTGCAGAACGTTTGTCTTCTACTGTAAATTAATAATTTAAGTCGCTTTTAACCCATTACCTTTAACTGATCCTTAGAATTATAGCAGCAACGACACTTTTTTTTTTAAAAAAAACATTTGTTATATACATAATACTTCCTATAAGGTCACCAACACAAGCTAACATCTCCCTTAGATTTTCTTACAAAGCTGCTCATTAGTCACATTTCAACTGTACACTTCAGCCACAAGATGGAAAAGAAGCTGCAGAACTTCATAGTGATCCCCCAAACATGGTCAATGCACGGAGGGAAAGATAGTTGGAACTAGCATACTGATCAAGGGAGTTCAACTCCACTAAGACAGGGACAGTTGCACTTTATTCCAATGCCCTGTTATGTTGAAACTTGCAATGCTACAGATCACAGTGTTTTCCAAAGTGCTCTCCATTGCCTCCTGAAAATAAACTTACTTATGCTGAAGCACAGTTCCAAAATCACTGTAGCCTTCAATCAAGTTGTTTCCTCACTTGTGCCAGCAATTGCCAATGAGCAACTGCACTGTGAAAGACATCCCACCATGCCAGCTTCTGGTTCAGGAATACTTGAGTATTCTTGGGTGGAGTTATTGAATGACAACCAGGAATGGGAACTAACTAACCAATCATACCCATTTTCTGAATGAATCTTTACCTTTTTCATCTTGCCCTAGGTAAGATCAGTTAATCTCACAAGCTCTTGGCATCAATCTGATGACATCTATCAAGAGCTGCAACCTATTTCTCAATAATTACACTCCATA